CTCTCTCTCTCTCTCTCTCTCTCTCTCTCTCTCTCTCTCTCTCTCATACAGGAAACTCTTAGACTGGATCAAATTCAAGTTTAAGAGAAAATCTTCAACTTTCATTGTTCTTCTTGGGAGATGTATATGCACAGATGGCGGCTGAGGGCTGCTCTCTAACACTAGACTGTGTTCCAACCCCTGACCCCACATGCTGCTCATAAAACCACCATCACTGACTGCCTCACTGTGAAGTTGATGATAGTACCCCTTCCTCCTGGGGTGGTGAGAAGGAAACACATGGGATTTATGGCAAAGAGCCTGGCACAGCATGAACATTTAGCCAGTGTTAGCTTCATCATCACACGAGCTAACCTCTGTATTAGAGCCACCGTATGTCATCAGTTCAGGCCTGAGGATCCTAGCCCATCCTGTCTACAAGCCAGATACCAGCCAATCAATGGTGGGATAAACTTTAAGACAGAGGGTTCTTAACCATAGAAACTAGGACTCTCAGCTCCTGTTCTAATGTCAAAGTGCAGCAAACTCCAAGTTTTTACTGATGGAGAAGTCAAGGCAGTCAACAAACCCCCAGGAGTGATGTAAGCACACTAGGGTGGGAGAGGGAAGCTAGGCCAAGTTCCAAACCAGAGGAGATGCTGGTGTGCTCTAGCAGATGGATACACTAGTTAAAAGGGTGGCTTACATGGTTTTGTTTTTGAAGTGTTCTCAGGGCTGAAGACCTGGCTCAGTAGTTAAGAACACCACTGTTCTTGCAGAAGGCAGAGTTTATTTCCTAGCATCTCTATGTCTGCACACAACAGCCTGTCACTCCAATCCCAAGGAATTTGACACCCTCTTATGGTCCTTATGAACACTGGGAACATGGATAGCCTACATACATACATGCAGGTAAAACATTCATACATATAATTTTTAAAAATTATTTTTTAAAAAACTGTCTTCTCTCTACCTTATCTCTGCCACTGGAGTGTGTCTATGGGGCAACTCTAGCTGAGACTCTTAGCAGTAGTGGGTATGGATCCTGAAGTGGCTATGGCAAGACTCAAGTGGAGGGAAGAGAACAGCAATCCATCCACAAAACTTTCAACCCAAAATGTGTCCTGCCTACAAGATGTGCAGGGACAAAGATAGACGGAGACAGAGGGCATGGCCGACCAATGACTGCCCCAAATTGAGACCCATCTCATGGGCAAGAACAAATTCCTGACACTAGTTATACTCTTTTATGATTGCAGACAAGAACCTAGCATAACTGTCCTCTGAGAGGCTCCATCAACCCAGCAGCCAACGGAAAGTGATGCAGAGACCCGCAGCCAAACATTAGATAGAGCTCAGGAAGTCATGTGGAAGAGTTGGGTAAGGACTGAGAGACCCGAAGAAGACAGGGACTTCACAGGAAGATCAACAGGGCCAATTAACCTGGACCCTTGGCACCTCCCAAAGACTAAACCACCAACCAAAGAGTGAGCATGGGCTGGACCTAGCCCTCCCCCAACATGTGTAGCAGATGTGCAGCTAGGTCTTCATGGGGGTCCCCTAACAATTGGAGCAGGGGCTGTCCATGACTCTCTTGCCTGCCTGTGGATCCAAATAGGCCCCCTCATCTGGCCTCAGTTAAAGAGGATGTGTCTAGACCTGCAGTGACTTGACGTGCAGGGGCTGGAGGGTTTGGAGGGGTAAGAGGTGTGAGGGTTAGGAGGTTTGATAATCAGGGCCACCTCTCACTTCTCAGAGGAAAAGGGGAGAGAAAATATGGGGAAGATATGTGTGCTAGGGTACCTGGAGGGAAGGGAGGGACAGATATTGGGATGTAAAATGAATTTTTTTAAAATGAAAAAAACAAGTAAAACTTTTTATTTCATATAGCTAAAGTCCACTGGTTAAACTCACATCAAAAAAAATTCAAGGGGTTGGGGAGATGGCTCAGTGAGTAAGAGCCCTTGCTCTGCAAATGAAGGGACTTAAGTTCAAATCCCCTGTACCCACATAAAGAACTGGATGTGCACAGAATCCCAGCATTGGAAGAGAGGGAAATTCGCATAATTTAAGCCTCATTTGTTTTGAGGGGGATAGAAACTTTCTGAAAAGCTGGTGAGAAATATAATAGGGTAAGAAAAGAACTCAAAGGAGAAAGACATTCATTTCATGTCCGTCAAAATGGATGTCTAAGGCACCCACTGAAGGTCAGGAGTAATGGGCACTGTGCAGTGACTTTCCACTCAGCCTTCCTCCACTCACTGGAAGCGTGCTCAGGTAGCTTTTCCCACACAGCTTTGCTGACATGGCTATAATATGGCTGTAATGTCCTCTGCACTACTGGGGATATTTTGCTTCCTGAGGAGCATCGTCAGTGCCTGGTTCTCTATCTAGATGACACATGTTGTTTGTTTATGTTTTGGTTTTATAACTTGAGTGCCTAAGTTATAACTCAGTGCCACTAACTTTCCATGCTGCCCAAAATTCTTATAGTTACAAAGTAGAGAAATCCAAGAGAAGTTACTCACATTAGAATTTAAGGTTTGTGTCTGCTAAATATAGTTTAGGCATTACCAAATTGGCCAGATGCACGATGCAAACCTGTGTTTGGCTGTTTTTGTTTTCAAATTGTCTCTACGGCTTGCTCAGATCATATAAGCTGTGTTGTCAGAGTTAACCCACTCACAGATGCCAACCATGGCCCTAAGGGTAGCATAAGCTGTGACACAGAATGAGACTACAGGGACTTTGGTCTCTGAGACAGCCTGGTGATATTCAAGTACACTTGGGTTGAAAGCCTGGAAAATTACTATATTTCATGGCTCCCCCAGCACTCTCATTCTCTCTCTCTCTCTCTCTCTCTCTCTCTGTCTTTCCCCCCCCCCCCCCCCCCCCCTCCCCCCCTCTCTCTCTCTCTCTCTCTCTCTCCACCTGTGAGTTTATCACAGACTTACCTGCTCAAACCCTGAGTCACCTATCTCACTCTTTTCTACCTGTGTCTGAGTAGTTTAATGAGCTCAAGCTTGGGGATCTTTACTGGGTCAACAATCTAAAGTAACCCAGATCAGCTGATTGAAAACGCAAGCAATGACTGCTTAGCATCATTAAAAGTGAAACGCCTCAGTATCTAAAACCTGTCCATCTCTCCCAATAGCCAAGCACGCATGTGTTCACCTGACTGGGGATTGACTACATCATTTTATGTTCTCCCCACTAATGGGGGAACACTGAGGATATGGGTACAGTAAGCATGCGGCAAGCCTGCAACGCCTCTTGGAAATCCATGCTTACTAAAAGGTCCACCAGTTTGCATGCAGCTGGTTAAAACCAACTCAATCTAGTCTGAAAAACTGTTCAAAACTTTAAGTACCACCAAAGCATGCCTCTTACCATTCTGGATGAGGGTTTGTGACCGTGTGAACCGTCCATGGACAGCTGTCATGTGCAGAGGACTTTTGCCATCCTTACTCTACAAAATGAGAAAGTAGAGACAAAGTTGTGAGCCACATCATAGATCTGAATCACCACCACGAAAGCCGCTCTCGATGCCCTGGAACGTCAATTTCAATTTTTGTTTTAAAAGTATGGTCAAGTAAAGAAGAGATAAATTAGAAATAAAAAGACAGAGTCTAAGAGGCAGATGATGGGGAGAAATGGGACAGATGTTTTCCGAACTCGAGACAGCTGATACACTCAGGGTTCAGCTCCTGCTGCTTCCACAGGATCAATCCAGTAAACATTCAACACGGATGGGATGGGGCCAAGGGGTTACTGATCACCAATGGCTGCTAATGGAAGGGCAGTCTGTTTTATGTAGGGGTGTGTTCCCTAGTAGGCTGAACTTGCTCCAATAAATGGTCCCACATTCGTGCATATATGGTGGGGACATTTGATCTATGGAGGAAGCAGTTAAATTTGATCAAAATACATCATATACATGTATGAAATTCTCAAAAAGTATAATTATTATAAAAAAGATGCAACATATAAGACTTCTCCAGTTATTGTATCATTATAATATCATTAAAATTTTTTATATTGTTACTATTATTACGTGTGTGTGTGTGTCTGTGTCTGTGTCTGTGTGTGTACAATGGTGGGAAGCAGGGTAGGGGTGGCAGGGATAGTGTACATGTGGAAGCCAAAAGATAGTTCTGTAGAGTCCATCCTCCCCATCCAGCTCTCTATGGGCTCCAGGGATCACACTCAGGTCGCAGGCTCACATGGACCTTTACCTGCTGAACTATCTCACTATCCGCCTTTTCTTAAAAAAAATAATAATAATAATTAACAGCACATCTTAAATAATCTTACAGAAATTATCATCCAGAATGTTCTCTTCTCCTTTGTCATCAACTGACAAAGGACATTTCCTGAGGTGTTCGTTTCAGCGTCTAGAAAAGTAAGCAATCGTGAATTTGCGTGGGCCTGTTTAACCTTCAGCTACTTAAATTGATGCTACTCTCAAAACTGAGGAAACCCTACACCATTCTCTGCATTTTATTGGTAGATAGTAATTGTGGGCTGAATTTATGTCTTATTCGTGACAAAAAAGTTAGGAAACTTCCTAAAACAAAACATGGAAAATGTACAGAACTTATCCACTGTTATATCAAAGACCAAACTCCCATAATTAATTAAGAAATGAAAGTGCATCTGAAAGAAATTGTCTGAGTCTGGAACAAAAGAATGTCAGAGGAGCAGGTGTACAAACATTCCCTCAACTCACAACACCTCCTCCACACATCCTTCCTGAGCTTGGGATCGTGTGGAGCTGTTCATATTCAGTAGAAACTGTGCTTCAGAGCTTCAGTGTAACTCCTTTTCTGGGCTACAATATGCAGTATGAAATGCTGGAGGTATGGTGGGAGGGCAGCAGCATGCAGGTAAGCAGTATACAGGTAAGCAGTGTGCAGGTAGGCAGCATGCAGGTAAGCAGCGTGCAGGTAAGCAGCGTGCAGGTAGGCAGCATGCAGGTAGGCAGCATGCAGGTAAGCAGTGTGCAGGTAGGCAGTGTGCAGGTAGGCAGCATGCAGGTAAGCAGTGTGCAGGTAGGCAGTGTGCAGGTAGGCAGCATGCAGGTAAGCAGTGTGCAGGTAGGCAGTGTGCAGGTAAGCAACAGACATGTAGTAGACTGCTGCCAAGGGATGTTCAGTGTGTGTGTGGGGGGGGGAGTACTTGTTAAAGGCATTTTAAACTTCTGATAGGTTTGAACTTATAATGAAAAGTTCCCATATCATGCCAGTAAGCAGCGTGCAGATAAGCAGCATGCAGGTAAACAACAGACACGCTGCAGTGGACTCTGCCTAGTGATGTTCAGTGTTGGGGAGGGAACTTGTTAAAGTCATTTTAAACTTATGATAGGTTTGAACTTATGATGAAAAGTTCCCATATCTTCATTCAAGTGTTGCTTTTTAATTTTACTACATTTTACTTAAGGTATTTAATGTATATGTGTGTGCATACATATGCCTCTGTGCCTGTGTATGGAAATCAGAGGATAACTTGTACAAGCAAGCCAGTTTTCCTCTTCTATCGTGTGGTATCCAAAGTTCTAGCTCAGGTCAACAGGCTTGGTGACAGGAGTCTTTACTTGTTGAGCCTTCTTACTGGCTCTCAGAATTTATTTTAAACAGTTGTCACTGTTATTTTCCTAAATATCTGTAGAAAAAAAATTTTCAAGTCCAGGTTAAAAAAATGAAGTGTCACAAATGAACACTTAATCTTGTGATAAAATCTAAACATCTGTGCTTTAAAGTGGTTTTTAAAATCCCCAATTGAGGGCTGGAGAGATGGCTCAGTGGTTAAGAGCACTGACTGCTCTTCCAGAGGACCTGAATTCAATTCCCAGCAACCACATGGTGGCTCACAACCATCTGTAATGGGATCTGACACCCTCTTCTGGTGTGTCTGAAGACAGCTACAGTGTACTCACATACACAAAATAAATAAATCTTTAAAAAATAAAAATAAAATCCCCAATTGAAAGCAAATAGTCATTAAATAAGTCTTAGAGGGATCCACTCCTACCCAGGGTGCTAACTGGTGACACAAATTCTGTGCACTAGCTCATACCTACTGAATCTCAACATTGTCATGGGCGTCATCACCTCAAGCTTGTACAAGACAACCATACTGTTAAGAGCTATGCTTTAGATTATGAGTGGTATTGTTCTTGTTGCTGTTTGGGTTTTTTGTTTGTTTGTTTAGCTTTATTATATCCTGTAAGTAAGTATTCCTTTGAAAAAAGGAATGTAGTTACACAAAGTCTATGCCAACAAAAGAGTTAATCACAGTAGTAACTACATCCCAATTGAAGAAACAAACAATATGTTAAAAGTTTTCTTCAGCTGGGCAGTGGTGGCACATGCCTTTAATCCCAGCACTTGGAAAGCAGAGGCAGGTGGATTTCGGAGTTTGAGGCTAGCCTGGCCTACAGAGTGAGTTCCAGGACAGCCAGAACTACACAGAGGAACCCTGTCTTGAAAAACAAACAAACAAACAAACAAACCATATAGATTGTTTTAAAAAAAAAAGAAAAAAGTTTTCTTCGGTAGATGGGAGGGAAGACAATAGGACCCATGTAAGATTAATATGCCCTGATTTGGCAAATATTGAGAAAGGATAGAAGTAAGACTGACACCTTTTTAAGGGAAAAGCCAGTGGGAGAATGAAGTTTGTGTGCAGTGCTTATCAACACAGACATTTCTAAACCCACACAACTCCAGAGCCTGGTCTGGAGTAGAGACAGTCCCAATAAACTCTAGTATCTGGGAACCACTCTGAAAAAACGAGTAAACACAGACTCACACAGACACACGCACACACACAGAGACACAAGCACACACACACACCCTCCAAGTAAGAGGGACAGAGACTGTTGTCCAAGACTCATGGAGAGTGAAGGTGGGAACTTACAAGTTGACACTGACTTGTCCGTAGGTGGTGCTGTTTTTTTAAATTTTGCTTCAGTATTTGCTCTTAGATTTAATATAAAACCGTAATTATGATTTAATTACATGTATATAAAGCTATAAATACTTTGTGTTTAGGAAATATCTTGATAAATATTGAAGCAGGCACCTTCCCACGCCTGGGAAAGAGCTGGAAGGCTCTACTAAGGATTATTCAGTTGGTAGCTGTATGTGTGCATACACACACACACACACATACACACACACACAGACAGGGAGGGAGGGAGGGACGGAGGGAGGGAGCATCCAAAAGCCAGAAGCAGGGGCAGGCAATTACTAGCACATAGATTGCAAAGTCAGTCCTGACTGGAAAACAACTGCACGCTCTGCCCCATGGGAGTGTTTGGGTCTCTGGTAAAGGGACAGAGAAACAGGGATGACCACAGCTGATAAAATGCAAAGAAGGGCTGCTTGGTGCTGGTGGTGCTCGTTTCAGATCTGTCCATGCAGCCTTCCCTTTGTTCATCTACTGATAAGACTGGGCACTAGCCAATTGTCCTAGGTTTCATGGCTGCCATTTGGAGGCCACTTTGCTGACATGGTATGGATGTAGACAGTACTTTTTCAAAAAAAATAAGAAACAAACCTGACCACCGAGGACATTCGAAGGGCAATCAATGTTCCTTCTTAAGTCTTTAACATCTGGAACTCAATAATCAAGCTGAAAGTGGAAATACTGCTACATTTTCTGCCTCAGACCTGGTTGTTGCTACTGTCCCTGGTAGTTTGGACAAGAGTAAAACTGCCTGTGTATCCAGGACGATGTGCTCAATCCTTCTATTTGTTCAAGGCTTTGCTTTTATGGAAAAAAAATTACTTTTCTTAATTCCTAGTATCCCTCCAATTTCCTGGATATATTTTTCCCATCGTATTTAAGACTTTGAAAGTTTTATTTTGAGAATTCACTTAATTAAACAAGAATTCCTTTTGTTAAGTATGTCCAAGTCCTGAATCATAAGAGGAAATTAGCCAGAATTAAGATTACTTTGTGACAAATGCTAGTAGAATCCAGCATGTCCTTGAACTAAATAGGATATCTAAGTGGTCTTTCTCATCATGTTCCTCTGGAATCCATTCATCCTTTCTTCTATTCATAATGCTTTCTGTGCTCCTTCTCAACACATCCCAAAGCTTCCTCCCTAAACAGCACTGCTACTCCCTGGAGACAGGACGTGTTCTGTGGCATGGGGCATCCTAGTGTCACAGGAGTCGGTGCCCCATCATAACATCATAAGACAATAAGGTTGTTATGGGATCACACTAAGTCAGTCTAGGGGTGTCATTATGTGAACATACCCAAGAAGGAATCCTAAGTCAGTAGGAGGATAGCTAAAAGCTGATTGGGAAAAGCCATGTGTATTGTTTTTAATGACTCAAATACAAAAGATGACATGTGTGGACTCAAATGTTCACTTTTTCTTTACTTCCTTCCTTTCTTTACTTCCTTTCTCAAACTCCAAGGTCATGTTTCTTCTGCTACTTCCTCCCGCCTGTT